CTGGGATTACAGGTGTAAACCACTGCGCCTGGCTTAATTTCCCTTTCATTTAATCTTTTTATTTAATTCCCTCTGTATTTAATGCCTTCACAAAAGTCCACAGGATGCTTACAGGCTGAATTTGGCACTGAGCAGACATCGGTTTTATTCCTGTTACTCTCCAATGCCAATTCCCTATTGCTGCTAAGACAAGGCCCAATGAACACCATTGCTGCCCAATAAAATCTTGTCAGGCACTCAAGTCCGGTTCAAATCCCTGCTCCTCTGTGAAGCCTTACCTTCTCTCTTGGCCATAGGTAACCTGGCACTTGCGTGGCCTCCCTTTCGGTCTTGATTGTATAACCAGAAGAATATCTTGAATTCTCATCTGTCTTAGTCTCTTGTGGCAGCCTCCTACCCCTTTATCTTGATAAGTTTCATTCAACCTGTAGGACACAAAGCAGCCCAAGTGCTACTTACAGGGGGGTCTTCCTAGACATGAGCCTCATTCATCTCTACAGAGAGTTTAGGTTTGGTAAAAACATTCCAGCACTCTCAGGGGAATGAATGGATGAATGAATATTATCAGCCCAAGCAGTTCTCACACCCTCCCACACCGGTAGACAGGCCTTTCTCAGGATCACTACTCTCACTTTCCTCCTCCCCAGCCCTACCTCAAGGGCACACATTTCAAATATATACTATTCTCGAAGATGTCTGCTCACAACAGCTCTATTCATACTCCCCACCAAGAGAGTATTGGCATATATGAGAGGTGGGTCTGGCGGGAGAAGAATCCGGCCACGGAAACCAGATCCCTGAATGCTGCCTCCATCGCCTCAAACATAACACGGGTGAACTGCTCCCGCGCGGTTCTGCATTCCACGGAGTGATAGAGAAGGGCGCAGAACCACTCTTATACTAGGGCTGGCATGCCGTGGACATGGGTTAATTGGGGACCAGCCCGCTCCGGGTCCCCGAAACAGTCGTACTGAATCCCCGCGCTCGGGCACAACCTCAACCTGCAGGCACTCGGCTGGGCGGGGCGGCGCGCTCGGATGTAGGTCATCCTCGGCGCCAGTCGGGCGCCAGCTGATTGGCCTGTGGGTTCAGGGGCGGGGTCCTAGCGGCTGAGGCGATCGGCTGCGCGCGGGCGGTTGGTCCTGTGCTTAGGTCTTGCGGCAGCCGGGTGAGGCTCAGCGCCAAAGGGTACTGGGGACTGCGGGAGGCATGGCTGGGACCTCCGCGCCGGGCACCAGGAGGCGGAGTGAGCCGCTGGCGCCTCGCCCGGGCCCACTGCCTGGCACTGGGTGTCCACCGAGCAAGCGGGCCCGGGGCGCCCCAGCAGCCGCGGCGCCGGACCCCGAAGACCCGTTCGGCGCGCACGAGGACTTCACTGCAGACGACCTGGAGGAACTCGACAGCCTTGCGTCGCAGGCCCTGAGCCAGTGCGCGGCGCCCCGGGGAGTGTCCGGTGAGTACGCCTGGCGCCCTGTGTCCCCAAGGGCGCTGCATCCGCGCCCGATCCCCTGGAAGTTTGCGGCCTTGGAGCTCCGGTGTCTTGCCCGACGTGCGCTTTCGCCTTTAAAACATGTAGGAGCACCCTGATTGAAGCAGAGGTTGTGTTCTAAAAGGTCATTCGATTTGAGGGAGAAACATATCAAAAATATAAGAAAACCACATAAATACACAAAGGGAGGTTGACATTTTATTTTCTAAAATTTAGACCGCTTGGTTCTTGGTTCTAAGCAGAGATCCTTACAGCTGGTGGAATCCTTACACCACCATCATAACTATCACTGCCCACACGTGGGGATCCAGTCTTGTAACAGGTTTGGGAGGGATTTAGATTTCACGAAGCCCACGGTTCCCCTGGGCAGTGTGAGCATGGGAGGAGCCTGGCACAGGCAAGAGTTGAGGGAAACGTATTCCTTTATACAACCAATAAACTGCTAGGGGCCCAAACATTCAGAACAGAAGCAGACCTAGCATTGATGAAAATAGAAAAACTACTTCCTACATGGAGATTACGTTTTAGTTAAGGAGTGAGTGAAGTCTTGTGAGGCTCCCAGAAAGAAAAAGAGGGTTTTTTTGGGGGGGGGGGAGTTGTTTTTTCTTGAGACCAGAGTTGCCACCAGGCTAGAGTGCCATGAAGTCATAGCTCACAGCAACCTCAAACTCCTGGGCTCAGGGGATCCTCTTGCCTCAGCCTCCCAAGTAGCTGAGACTATAGGCGCCCACCACAATGCCTAGCAGCTATCTTTAGAGACAAGGTTCTTGCTTTTGCTAAGGCTGGTCTCAAGCTCCTGAGCTCAAGCAGTACACCTGACTTGGCCTCCCAGAGTGCTAGGATTCCATGTATCTTAAACTCAACACAGTCATTTCCTGAAAACCCAGTCCTCCTTCAGCATCTTAAGAACTGTGCCTGCAAAGCAGACATTCAGAAAACACTGGTTGATGACCAAATGTTCCACAAGGCAAGTATTTTCCCTTCCTTTACCCTACATCTAATTCTTTTCCAAACCCTGTCAACTTTACTTTCTTTATCTGTGTCTGGAATCCATTCTGTTTGCATCCTTTCTACCAGCTCCCTGATCTTTGCTACCATGATTCCTCCCTTGGACAGTAGTCTGCTAAATTGGCTCCCCATTTCCAGTCTTGACTCCCTACAAGTCAGACTTCACAGTGATCGTTTTCAAAACTTATATCTGGCTGTGTGTCACACAGGTGCATGTGAGCATCTCATTGAAAGTCTTAATGACTTCCCACTGCTTCTAAGATAAAGAACAAAATCATAGGCCGGGCACCGTGGCTCATGCCTGTAATCCTAGCACTCTGGGAGGCCAAGGCAGGTGGATTGCCTGAGCTCACAGATTTGAGACCAGCCTGAGAAAAGCCAGACATCATCTCTAAAAATAGCTGGGCATTGTGGCAGACACCTGTAGTCCCAGCTACTCAGGAGGCTGAGGCAAGAGAATCGCTTGAGCCTAGGAGTCTGAGGTTGCTGTGAGCTATGATGCCAGTGCCAGCGCACTCTACCAAGGTAACAAATTGAAACTTTGTCTCAAAAAAAAAGAGGGACAGTGGCTCAAAGGAGTAGGGCGCTAACCCCATATGCTGGAGGTGGCAGGTTCAAACCCAGCTTCAGCCAAAAACTGCAAAAAAACCCAAAAAACAAAACCCTTACAAGGCCTTCAAGCCCAGCATGGACCCTTTTCTACTTTCTACATTCTAGCCACACTAACTCTCCTTCATTCTTTTTTTGTTGTTGTTGAGACAGAGTCTCACTATGTTACCCTTGGTAGAGTGGTGTGGCATCAGAGCTTACAGCAACCTCAACCTCTTGAGCGTAAGCAATTCTCTTGCCTCAGCCTCCCAAGTAGATGGGACTACAGACACCTACCACAACGGCCAGCTATTTTTCTGTTGCATTTATCTTTGTTGCTTAGGTGGCCCTGGCTGGGCTCGAACCTACCAGCCTCGGTGTATGTGGCTGGCACTGAACCAACTCTCCTTCATTCTTTTTTTTTTTTTTTTTGGTTGCAGCCATTATTATTGTTGTTTGGCGGGCCCGGGCTGGATTCGAACCTGCCACCTTAGGTGTATGTGGCTGGCGCCTTAGCCACTTGAGCCACAGGCGCCGAGCCCCTCTCCTTCATTCTTTACAATATATTGTTCTTTCTTGTATACTGAGTGTTCTTTCTATCCATTCATCTCCACTTATCTGGTTAACTCCTGCTTGTCCGTCAGCTCTCATCTCATTCAAGTCTTCCTTCGGGGAAGACTGATGCTCCAGTCATTCCACTTGGGTCCGTCTGCCCTTTTGTAGGCTTTCTTGTGTTTGTTCTTCTCTGCAGCTATATCATAGTTGTAATTTTACATTAATCTATGTATTTATTAAATGTCCTATGAGCAAGGTCTGCCTCTATACTGTTTTCCTCAGCATTGCATTATACT